TAGAACTGCAGACACCAGGAGGTGGAGATAAAGTGAAAGCCTAAAAGCCCAGCAAGTCAATGGTGCATGTGGTGTAACATCCAACCACGCCCACTCTGCAGGAGGCAATGACCCACATCTCTGTGGCAAGGAGCTGGTGAAAATTGCACAATTAGAATTGTATGAGGTGTTGGGCACACAGTCATAGGGAGAAACTGAATTGCTCACTGACAGTGTTTGCTCATGCAAAGCAGCTACAGAGGTCATTACCAAGTAACAGGGCAGAAATCAGTAACACTGACAGCCAGGCAGCCTAAAATCTCAGCTTGTACCCAAGAGCACCAGAGAAAGCTGGCCCAGAGCTCAGCATCTGCTCTGGCCTGCACATTAGGCACTGGTGCACCTACCCCAGCCTGCCTGTCCCAGCCAGCTTCCCCAGTCTCCTCCTCAGTGGGCCCCACAAGTGTCCTCACCTGTTGTCCCTTGCTGGTCAGAACTCCTCCTTCTAGAAGCAGTGCACAGTGGGAAGATGTCTTAGGGCCTCTTCAAAGCCCACATCTTACAGCCTCCCCACACCTCTCGCTGCAGCTCGGAAGGCTGCCTTTTGAATTTCACCTCTGCCCTCCAAGAGCAGTGCTTCTCAGAATCACCTGAAGAGCTTGCTAAAACACAGATTGCTAGGATCCTCCTAATTTAGTAGGACTAGAGAGAGTCTAAGAATCTGCTTGCTAACACTTCCCAATGCTGATTTTCCTGGTCCTAGGAGCACCTTTGGAGAACCATCGGGCTTGTGAACACCTGAGAGCACTTTGAATCAGTGGCAGGCACAGCCCACAGTTCACCAGTCTATAAACCATGCCTGTCCTGAGCCCAAGTCGGAAGCAGATAGGAAAACACATGAACAGCCCAACTTTCTCATCCAATATAAGACCTCGTCCACCTGAGCAGAGACCTGGCTCTAATACTGTTTGTGAGTTCCTGTTATGGGACCATCAGCAATTAAATAAGACTTTCATGGTACTTTCATAACACACCATGTGGGATGGGACCCAAAACAAACTTCTTACTGAAACCCAGTCAGCTGCAGATGCCAGGTTCTGAGCCTTTCATGTATTTGCAAGGCTGGCAACTGACAGGGGCCCAACAGCCTGATGTGGGCAGCCCCACCTGGGGAAGGCATTCTTGGTAGGTCCTCCTGGGGCCTCCCTCAGGGTTGCTGCTTCTACCCAAAGGACTTCTTTCATTTATAAAGCAAAGAGAATATGGAGCTTTACGCCCTGGTGGTAGTGTGATGCAGCAGCTTACTCTGGCCTCCCACATTCCAGGGAAGAGAAAACGGAGCTTGTAGTGAAGGAATATAGGCTCCAGGCCTGCTGATCACTAACTGAATATGTGACCTCAAGCAGGGTCTCAACATCCCTGAATATGTCTTTCTTGCAAATGTGTTCCAGTCTCAGGCAAGTTCACTATGGTTTCAGTGAGACCAAGGAATGACAATGGAACATTCCTGGGGTAAAAGGGTTTATTACCAGCTTGTTCTCCCAGTGATAGGTTGAGCACTAGAATTACATTTGCATCCAACAGTCTACAAGTCTATAATCATCCTTCATCCCTGCCTCTGCCCAGAGCACTGGGCAGAGCTCTTTAGTGAGTCAGTCAATAATAGCTTGTTGCCTACTGGTGTGGAAGCAGTAGCCTAGTTGCAGGCCAATTACATCATCAAGTGGTTTGGGGTTGGTTTAAGGATTCTGGCCATAGAAACTTCAATTTTCCCCACAATGTCACTTCTTCTGTTAAGAGAAAATAATCTGTCCTAATTCACTGGATTATCACAAATGGCATAATGATGCTGTATGACATTATTTATTTTCATTAGTATTACTGTTATTTTTCTAGGACAGGATTACCTACCCAAAAGCAGCTTCCTCACTGTTCTGAGATACTTTCCTGAACCCCTTTTTCCCCTGACATTGTTTTTCAATAGTAGCTGTTTATTGAGCTCCTTCTCTTTGCCAAGTCTTGCACCAAATACCATAGCGTGAGAATGAAGTGGATAAGATTCTCATCCTTAAAGCACCCTCAGTCTAGTGGGAGGGATAGGACAGTCAAATAATCCTGTTCCAGTAAATGTGTTGATTCAAGGGTGCACAGAGGGCACTCTGAAGCAGACGTGAGGCCTGTGGAAGAGAAGGCTAGTTCCTACCCAATATTTAGTCTTCCTTCTTCCTAAGCAACAGAACACCCAGAAAAAAAGACTACATTTTCCAGCCTCCCAGGTAGCTAGATATACCATGTGACTAAGTTCTAGCTAATAAGATGTAATGCTGCTAGGAAATCTTTTAAAATAGCAATTGGCATGTACCCTCTCCCCTTACTCCTTTCTCCATCTTCTTGCCAGAAATACAGATGTGATGGTCGGTGCTCCAGCTGCATCTTAAACCATGAGGACAGGGATGTTAAGATGATAAGGTAGTGAAGGGGAAGAGGTCTGTATCCCTAACAGCTTTGTGTACCAGTCCTGAGCTGCCTGTCTCCAGAATTCATGCACATGAGAGAAGGTAAACTTCTATCTTATTTTTAAGCTGCTAGTATTTGATATTTTCTGACATGAGCAACTGAGTTTAATCCCAACTAAAAATTAGGGCCAGATTATGAGTAGCCTGAGGATGTTGGACCTTCTTATATAAGCAAATAAGGAGCTATAGACAGTTTATAAGCTGCAGAGTAACTTGATATGGAGAGGTAAACGCTGAAGGAATAGAAATGACCCAAGATGTAAAGGAACTGAAAGCTTATTTCCGTTCATCGAAGTGAAGAACTGTGATTTGGAGGGAATAGAGGAGCATGGTTGTAGACTTGTGCACTTTGAGGTCACTGCAATGACTCCGTGTTAAAGAATCCAAAAGGGAGCTGGAAGTGTAGAAGCAAATCTTGAGAGGGAGGTAAGGACTAGAGCCATAGACTTGGAATCACTCATGCAAAAGTAATAGCTGGCATGCTACAATATGGATGACATTACACTAAGTGAGATAAGCTAGTCACAAAAGGACAAATACTGTATAATTCCACTTATATGAGGTACTTACAGTGGCCAAATTCACAGAGACAGAAAGTAGAAAGTGGTTGCCAGGGGTTAGGGGAGGGGAGAACGGGGAGTTTGTATTTAATGGGGATAGTTTGTTTGGCAAGATGAAGAGAGTTCTGGAGAAGGGCGGGGGCAATGGTTGCATGACATCAATGTACTTAATATGGCTGAACTGTACGCTTTAAAATGGTTAGGATGGTAACAAATATGGTACATACATAAAGACATGAATGAGTAAATAAATAAATAATCTAGTAAGTTTTAGATGTCATAACTGAAAGCCTGAGAGTAGAAGAGGTTTCCTGGGAAAGAGGGAAAAGTGAGCCAGAGGGGCTCACCTTTGAGAAACAGAAAAAAAGGAGGTGGTCTAAAGAAAGACAATTGGTCTGAGAGGTGGGAAGAGAGGAAGGAAAGACTTCATGTCACAAAAGCCATAGAAGGAGAAAATTTGTGACATGATTGGGAAACTTTTAGAAAATAACAGTGCCAGAGAAAGAGAGAGATTGTTCAACAAAGCCTAGTCCAATTGTTTTGATAACAAAGGAGTCTCTGCATTAGCACTGAGTACAAGACTAAAACTGCAGGTGGTGGCCATCTAAATTGGATTTTTCAAAGCTGGTCAAAGAAAACGTCATGTACAAGCAACACAGGGCTGGCATGAAGAGTACAGGCACCCGTTCCACTGTAACCATTCTCAAAGTAAAAGGCTGCCTACATGAGCAGAATGGAGAATGCATCAAATCAGAAGTCAGTGTCCAAACTACGATAAAAACTCGGAAACCCGTGGTAAAAGTGCTTGCAGCATACCAGGGGAAGTGCCAAGGAAGAGCAAAATCAACGGCCCCAGAGAAAAGAGAATTCTAGAAAAGAATCTTCACTGTCACAAACTGCTCACTCCACTGTGAGCCAGTTTGGGGAGGTGACCTTTAACACTTCCTCCATCTGTGGTCACTTTAAGAACTAACTGAGGCATGTGAAAAAAAACCTTAGCATATTGCCTGGGAACAGAATTCCTCTTAAGGAGGAAACTCTTTTCCCATAGGAAAAAAGCCTCTCTAAACCTTCAGGTAGCAGGTATGACTGGAGGCATAGGTTAGCAGGAGACAAGCCAACAAAAGAAAATTAAACAGAGCTGCATGGTGTAGGGGTGAGAGAATGGAGGGGGAGGTCTAGGAGGTCTGCAGTCACCAAAGAACTTCTAAGAACAGAGGGTTGTCATGGTCCACTGTTTGCAACTCTATATTGAAAACACCCTCCTCTGCCTCCTCAAAGTTTATTAGAGTAGGGAGATTTGGGTAAACAGTAAGGAACAAAGGATGAATTCCATTTTGGCATGACACCAGGGTAGCAATAAAGAAAGAGGCCCAAGGCCAGAGCAGAGAACAAGAACTCACTGGAGACAGGAAGTTGGAAGGAGAGGAGCCCAGGCGAATGAGATCAGGAAGACCCCAGGCAACATGTGCGGGGAGATTACGATAAAGGGCCGGCTTCAGGAACAGCTGCACTGGGGCTTGGGGTTGTTGTGATTGCCAATCAATCTTTTTAGCACTGTACCACCTGTGTCCTTATTCTGTCTCCTTTAATCCTACCTAACAAGTTGCAAGGATGAGGGGGTGGTTCACAGTGTCATGTAAAAACTGAGAAATCAAAAAAAAAGAATTAAGGAAAGGTCATCAGGCTTGCACAAGAGCAAGTCACCAGTGACACAGGACGAGGAGTTTTCAGCAGGAGTGGGGCCAGGGTCACCCCATGTAATTGAGCCATTTGTGCACTGCACAAAGCCTGCCCAGCTGCAGTCTTGGGGACAAAAGGCAGATGGCAGGAAGGTTATGAATGACTAGCTAGTGAAGAGATGAAGGCCATGTATCTGGAGCTCCTATATGGGGATTTATATTATTTATTTATTGCTGCATACAAAATGACTCCAAAATTTAGCAGCTTAAAACAACAAACCTTTATTATCTCACAGTTCTGTGAGCCAGGGTTCCAGGCGCAGCTGAGCTGGGAGATGCCTGCTCAGGGTGTCTCGTAATGCTGCAATAAAGCTGTCCGCTGGGGCTGCAGTCATTTCAAGACTCAGCTGGAGTGAAGGATTCCCTCCTAAGCTTAGTCATGGGGAAGCTGGCAAGTCTCAGTTCCTCATAGGCTCTTGGGCTGAGGGTCTCAATTCCTCGCCATGCCACATGGGCCTTTCTGTAGAGCTGCTGGCAGCATGGCGGTTTGCTTGCCCCAGTGTGAATGATCTGAGAGAGAGAGAGAAAGAGAGGTTGGGAAGGGAAGAGGAGGGGAGGAGGCAGGAGAGAGAAGAGGAAAGAGGAGAGGGAAACGCAGATGTCCAGTTAAGAAGCCTGTCATTTTTTTTTTTTTGGCACTGAGCAATAGTTTGCAGTGAAATAGTTTATTGAAAGCGCAGTGAGAAAAACTGAGGCTCCAAGAAATATTTCAGATCAAGACACACACCTATAAATCACATCTCCAGCTGGGAACCACCCTTTCCCAGATTTATTTTTTGGTATCATTAATCTACAATTACATGAGGAACATTATGTTTACTAGACTCCCCCCTTCACCAAGTCCCCACCACATACCCCATTAGTCACTGTCCATCAGCGTAGTAAGATGCTGTAGAATCACTACTTGTCTTCTCTGTGTCGTACAGCCCTCCCCGGGTAGATAACATTATACATGCTAATCGTAATGCCCCCTTTCTTCTTCCCCCACTTCTCCCTCCCTTCCCACCCATCCTCCCCAGTCCCTTTCCCTTTGGTTACTGTTAGTCCTTTATTGGGTTCTGTGATTCTGCTGCTGTTTTGTTCCTTCAGTTTTTCCTTTGTTCTTATACTCCACAGATAAGTGAAATCATTTGGTACTTGTCTTTCTCCACCTGAAGCCAGTGTTTTTATAACCTGATCTTGGAAGGGACGTACCATCCCTTTTGCTGTATTCTACTCTTAGAATAGGTCACTAAATCCAGCCCTCATTCAGAGGGAGGGGATTACACAAGAGTATGAATAATGGGAGATGGGGATCATTGGGGGCCATCTTAGATGCTGCCTCTCAAGATATAAAGGTTCAACCATTCTTTCAGAGAGAGAGCAAATCTTTCTCTTACCCTGGGGGTTAAATCACTAAGAGACAAAAATAATTTGGGAAAAGGTCTAAGCTCACTTTAAGCAGGGACCAGAGTGCATTCCAATTAGTGACACAGTGGCTAAGTTGAGCAAGGTGCTGAAACAATTGCCATTGGCAGCTCCTCAGCAGGGGCCTGGTCATCTGCTTCACAGGGCATCAGCTTTGGTGCCCAAGTGAGTTGTCTGCCTCTACCTTATGTGGGTATGAAAAAAGTTCATAACTGCCAACAAAGGTTTCTAATCCAGAGGAACAGCCCATGCAAAAATATAAAGAGGCATTCAAGGAAAGCAAAGCGCCTCACAGACCAGCCTTGTTTCTGCTTTCTGTGTGGGCTGACCTGTTTATGCAGATGTGTGGAGGGAAGAAAATACTCACTCACCAGATCAGCCCATAACAGGCACCACCTGTTTCTAGCACCTCCAGTATCTGGAGGTGTCCTGGCCCCTAGATGGCTGGGCTTGAGGCTGCCACCCATCCCTACACATACAAGCCCTATGTGGAGACTTGCCCCTGGCCTCACCTTGACTCACACCCACCATGAGACTCTTTATGCTTTCTTTTAAACTTCTGGACCACAGAGAAGCACAGGAAAAAAAAAGGTATTCTCAATTTGGAATATACTATTAGACTATAGCCAACTCTTCTAGATTCTTTTAAAGGCTCCTGGAATTTCTGAATCACTCTGAATTGATTCAATTCATAAATACTTATCAAGGGCCTGTTATGATGGTGAGTCAGCTCTAGGCCATAGGTTGCTCAGATGAAGTGAGCCAGGAAGAGACAGAACTGGGAAGAGGGCCAAGCCGGTGGGCATGGTGGCAGGAGCTGTCATGCCAGAGATTACAGCTTGGGTCAGTTCATCAGGAAAGGACAGTTACCATGAATCCAAACATCCTAAACAAGTGCAGAGACTGACATGAGATCAAAGAGAAGATACATATAAGACAGAATCTATGTGGAAGAGCCAAGGCTAATACTCAGCAGTTCCAAGTGAACAGGGAAAACATGGGTAGCCCTAGCAAGAGACTAGAGGTCAGGAAGCCCAGCACCCGTCCCTGCAAACAGGGGCCATCTCTGACTTGTTCAGCATCCTTTCCCCAGTATCCAGCACAGTGACAAATTAAGGTGCTCAGGTCAACCAGGAGAACACAAGGATGTAGTCATTTATGTGACACTCATAAATCAAGGTTTGTGGTCCACAGTGGGCCTCCGGAAACTAGCAGACAATAGTGTTCAGACCCAGAGGCTGATAAAGAAAGCTCAGGATCCAGAACAGGTGGGTGGGGCCAGCTAAAAGCCCAACCAAATTATGAATACTGATTCCAGGGTATTCTCAGGATTAACTGTAAAATTAATTAATTCTAGAATTAATCATTTTAAGCAGCCTTTCTGCTTCTGCTAGACTGATAACTGGAGACATGTCTGTCTTGCTGATTGGTTATCCCGGGGCCTAGGACAGGGCCCTGTGCTCAGTAAATATGTGTTAAGGAAACAACTTCTCCCAGAGAAAAATGAGACTCTGCAGAGGGTGGAGCATATGTCTAGAACCCAGAGAGCACAGGTCAATACAGCAGGAGAGATTTTTTTCTTTCCAGGTGATAGTGAATTGGGAGGGACTAACAGAGCCCAGACTTCAGATTGAGAACAAGCAATAACATGCCAACCTTCTATTCCACATTCCTTACCCTCACTTTCCTGGATCTCCTTCAAAATGCAGCAGAGGACTAAAATGACACTAAGCCATTCACCTGTCCTGGGGCCTAATCTCCAGATTGTGAATATGTGCAGGCAGAAACCAAGCTAACAAACTTCAACATGACACTGTGAAATATTTCCTCTACCCATAACTAGGTGGACAGTTGAGCAACTCACTTAACCTGTCTCTATTTTAGCCTCAAACTATTTCTTCATCTGTACTGTTCCAGAAGCTTTATATTTTGATGTTGTCTCCCTTATTTCCTTTAGCTTTTATTGCCCTTGCTTTTGGCGTCAAATCCAAAAAATCATTGCCAAGGCCAATGTCAAGGCATTTATTCCCTATGATTTCTTCTAGGAGTGTTACAGTTTCAGATTTTACAATCAAGTTTTTAATCCATTTTGGGTTAATTTTTGTATGTGGTGTAAGAGAGCAGTGGTCCAGTTTTACTCTTTTGCATGTGACTGTCCAGTTTTACCAACACCATTTATTGAAGAGATTGTCCTCTCCCCATCATATATTCTTGGCTCCTTTGTTGCAAATTAGTTGACCATATATGGGTGGGTTTATTTCTGGGCTCTCTATTCTGTTCCACAGTTCTATGTGCCTGTTTTTATGCCAGTGTCATAATGTTTGATTACTATCACCCTGTAATATAGTTTGAAATCAGGAAGCATGATGCCTCCAGCTTTGTTCTTGCTCAAGATTGTTTTGGCTATTTAAAACTTTTGTGGTTTCATACAAATTTTTGATGTTTTTACTATTTCTGCGAAAAATGCCATTGGAATTTTGATAGAGATTGCATTGAATCTGTAGACTGCCTTAGAGGTATGAACATTTTAACAATATTAATTCTCCCAATCCATGAACATGGAATATCTAAAGGAAACCACCAACATAATGAAAAGGCAACCTAAGAATGGGAAAAAATATTTGCAAACCAAATATCTAATAAGTAGTTAGTATCTAAAATATATAAGGAACTTGCACAACTCAATAGCAAAAATCCAAATAACCCAATTAAAAATTGGGCCAAGGATCTAATTAGACATTTTCCAATGAATATATACAAATGGTCAACAGGTACAGGAAAAGATGCTCAACATAACCAACCATCAGGGAAATGTTAATCAAAACCACAATGAAATATCACCTCATACCTGTTAGGATGTCTATTATCAAAAACACAAGAGAAAAACACTTGAGGCTGTAGAGAAAAGGGAACCCGTAGACACCACTGGTGGGAATGTAAACTGGTACACCCACTATGAGAATAGTATGGAGGTTCCTCAAGAAATTAAAAATAGAATTACCATATGATGCAGCAATCCCACTTCTCAGTATATATCCAAAAGAAATGAAACCATTATCTCAAAGCAATACTGTATTCCCATGTTCACTGCAGTATTATTCACAATAGCCAAGTAGAGAAACAATTTAAGTGTCCACTGACAGATGAATGGATCAGGAAAATGTGATCCATTCATATATAGTATATATTATACATAATAATAAATACATACATACACACACATATATACATATATATATTATTCAGCCTTTGGAAAAGAAGGAAATCCTTTCATTTGCAGCAACATGGATCATGGATGAACCTAAGTGAAATATGCAAAACAGAGAAAGACAGATCCTGCAGGGCATCATTTATATGTATCATTAAATTATTTTAAATGTCAGACTCTCAGAAACAGAATAGAAAAGTGATTGCAAGGGTTTGGGGGTGGGGGAAATAAGGAGAGGTTGGTAAAAGGGTACAAACTTTCACTTATAAGATGAATATGGTCTGATGATCTAATGTGTAACAATGGTGACTCTACTTGCTAACACTGTATTTTACAATTGAAATTTGCTGAGAGTAGAACTTAAATGTTCTCACCAAAAACAAACAAAAAAAGGTAAATATGTGAGGTGATGGATGTGTTAATTGACTAGGTGGGGGGAATTTTCCTCAATGTGTCTGCTAGCAAATCATCAGGGCGTAACTTCAAATATCTTACATTTTGTCAATTATACCTCAATAAAGCTAAACAAAACAAAACAAAACTATTTCCTCATCTGTAGAAGGAAGGCAGTAGACTAGAAGAAAGATTCTGTGGTTCCCCTTCTTTTCTGATATCGTGTGATTCAGTTGTTCTGGTCTGTTTTAAAGAGGATACGGATTAGAATTGACCCACCGTGAAATACACAGTGGCTCATCTGCCTCTAATGAGAACTGGAGTGGGCCTGGAGGAAACGCCATATACACACACCCTCTCGGTTCTGTCTCCATGGAGTCTGGCTCTCCTGGAACGCTGTGTCTGTGGAGGAAGGTGAAGCATATTTCCTGTAGGCAGTTACTTATGTTTCCCAGGCCCTCTGGAGAAGAGGCAGCATGACGAAGCTGAAAGCTCCCTGGGC